GTATTTGCCGAGTAGTTTTTGCTTTCATTATGGTTTGCTGGAAAACTAGTAATCTTAGTCAAAAGTAAGTCCCCTACAACAAATTGATCCTTTTTTTTTGTTAAATCGCTCAATTTGTTTCATTCTGTTGTCTTCAAGCTTTTTAGCTGCCTCCCTTCTTAATGGAAAAACTCTATGGTGTTCACTTTATCATCACTGACATATTTGTCACCATCTGCTCTTAATTTGTAACCGAAAATAATTCACTAGGTGTTGTTTGCGTTATACCATGTTATCGCTATATAATTTGGCAAACATTGTTGCCAACGAGTCTAGCACTATCTTGTTTGCTCTTTCGACATGTCCGTTTCCTCTCGCCATGCCAGCTGCCGTGGTGAATACCCTTATGCCTCTTTCTGCAGTATAGTTACTAAATTCTTGTGATATAAATGCTTTTCCGGCGTCGGTTATAAAACGCCTAGCATTACCAAATATTTTAAAAATTTCTTCCAGTGTAGTTATTACATGTTTACTTGACGTATCTGCGACTGCTGTTAAAAAGACGAAATTTGTCAAAGCCTTTATTATTACCAATAAATATTTATTTCCACATTTTGTCTTAATAAATGGTCCAAGATGATCTGCATGGAGTGTGTGATAAGTTCGTACATATTTGGGTATTGAGTGAAGGTATCCTATCTTTTTACCACCCAGTTGTTTGTGGTATAAACAGTGAATGCACGCTGCCATATATTATATATCTTTCTTTTATACGCTCAAGCGTTTTATCAAAAGCGAAGTGTCCTATGTCATCGTGTTTTGCTGTCACAATTTGTCATCTATACATTTTTGGAATTGGATTTAATTTAATCGATCTCAGAAGAGAGAAAAATCGACACAATTGATTATTTTCACTTTTCCAAACATATAAATTACAAAGTTGTGAAGACTTCCATAGGTTTTGTAAAACTTCAATGTGATCTACAGCGTTTTTAATAAGTATAACAAATATTACAATGGCAATGAAACTACTGTCCACAGCAGCATTTTAAAATGGCTTCAGATAAAAATATACAATTTGGTAAGTTAATAGGGTTGAAGATTTTGAACATTTGGAGCATGAAAACTCGGGATGTAACCTCAACTTTGTTATTTTAAATAGAACAACTTTTTTATAACATACCCCATTTCTGGAATTAATAACTTTTAAAATAAAACCGTTCAAAAATTTACCATAATGCATTTATTTCTGGGAGAAATTATATCTATGAGGCGTGTTCAAGAAGTAAGGTGACTTTAAAGTTTTATCAAAAAATATTTATTTATCATAATTAATATTATTTGTCCCCTTCAAAGTAATCCTCCCAGCCAACGTTTTTTCCAATCTTCGAAGAAGCTTCTGGTATAGCCTTGAGTTCTTCTAGCGATTTTTTATTTAGCTCCTCAATCGTTCCAATCCTGCTTCCTTTCATGGGTTTCTTGAGTTTTGGGAACAGAAAAAAGTCGCAGGGGCGTGGTGAATGTAGTGGCGAATTCACGTCGTTTAACAGCTCTTTCGACAGTCCTTTTGTTCAAAATTAAGCAGTTTCGGAACAAATTTTGCTGCTACAAGTTTCATGCCCAAAACTTCGGAAAAAAGTGCAACGCTTTTCTTCTTCTTCAATGCTCTTCTCGGCCATCTTGGAACATCTTGTACCACTTATAAACTTTTTTTTTGGTCAAAGTAGATTCACCATAGGCCGTTGTCAACAAGTGTTTTGCAGCACCGTATTCCATTTTTTGTTCCATTTTTTTTTAAAGCAGAAGAGCGCCGACCACGAAAAACACGTCTAACGCTTTGTCTCACAAAAAAAAGTGAATGTGCGAACTGGTTGAAACCGTGAACATATGTTAGGGACATTGATTTATTGGTCCAAAAATACCTCAGAGTAGATAAAAACGTATATGATTACAGGCATGACCATTTATCATGTGTCGGACTATCCCTACCGTACACTAACAAAATAATATGCGATGCAAAAAAAAAGACACAAATAAACAATCTGTTTTTAGCACGCTGAAAAATTATAAAAAATTATTCGGATCAGTCAAAAGGTATGGTAATTTTCTCATAAACTCAAAAATTTGAAATATTTCTTATGTGCTATATATTTTTGAAAAGCTCATGTAGGGTGTTCCAATATAAAAAAAGGTAACTAAGGTATCATTTTGTGAGACTAGGAATAAAACAAAACAAATTCATATTGAAACAAAATTTTTTCCACAACCTAAAATGAAATATAAACCAATGTTCATCGATCGATAAGAAGATCCATAAGAAACCACGATATGTTGAGGATATATTGCGCTTGTATTCTAGTAGATATATAGTACCGATATAAGAAGCAAAAATCGCACATAACCTCAATTTCCTGACCCCCCGTAGCGGGGGTCCCCCGCGCGTGGCGGTCCGGCCCGTCCTAGTGTCCCCCCTGGCTAGCAGAGTGCGCTCCGCCCCCCACCCAGCTTGTGTAGCGTCCTGTTTTGCCCCGGTTCCGCCCGTCGCTGCTAGATGTCGCGCGCTCCGACCGTCGTAGGCCCCCCCGGTAGAGGGTGGTGGCGGTGCGGAGCGGAGACGGTGTGGCGCGGTAACGCGGGGGATCGGGTCGACGGTAAACAAGTCGATTGACTTATACAGAGTGTCTCAATAATCACAGTTTAATAAAAGAAAAACTATAGATACAATAACAAATATTTATTAGCTCATATGTAGACAACGTAATGCTTCGTACAAGCGGTGTTTCTGGTCCATGAGATTTTCTACTTCATCGCGTTCGAGGATAATTTCGTCGCCATGATCCTGTTTCAGTATCAACTCACAGCTCTCTTCTTCGTTCGAATAGGTCACCTCGATACTGCCCCCGATGTACACTGTTATGTCGTTCCAGAACATGATTTCTCCCACCTCGTCCGCCAGTAAGAACAAAAAATCCCAAAAATTCTGAACTTGAAAATCTATGTGCTTGTTCTTGAAGATGAAACGGACACCTGAATTCTTTATTTCGAAAATCGTATTTTCATCGATAGTGACCACTTTGTTACACATTGCGACAAACAGACTGACTTCGGTATCAAATTCAAATGTACTTATATATCAACAACCCCCCACTATCGGTGTAATTAAGCGAGATATTTACATTTAGTCAATTTGAATAAGCATTTTGCCAAAAGAAGCAAACAAGCGCACGTAGTTACATATAGCGGGATTAAAATAGTTTTTCGATCTGCCGAGATGTTGTATTCGTTACCGCAATTGTCGTTAACGCCGCCGCTGGTGTTATTGGAATTCTTGATAGCGATCGTTTGCCATTCGCCGTGGTCTTCGTAGCTCCGGTTCGCGAAAACCAAACGTACCTTGTAATTTAAATACGGCTTATCTGCGGTAGTGCTATTCGACAAATTTGCCTATTTTATTCATTTCCATAGGTGTGTGTAAATTTTCAGTTTTCAAAACACTTTTGTAGTATGGATATGAGGAGGGTAAATACTGACGAAAACGTGCTGGAAAGAGTCCGCATACAACCGACCAATAAAAACACGCTTGATCGTCATTTCTAATATTAATACAAGCCCTTTTATTCGCAATTTCTTTAGGCAACTCAACGAAGGATGATCCGTTACCCATTTCAAATTTATTAATGTTAATCTCTAAATAAATAATATTATTTAAAGCCCACCCGGAATCACGTTCCTGAAACTCTGATATTTAATTTAAAATTTTATCTTGCACATTTTCAACAAACCAATCATTCAATTCTGTTCCTAAATCAACCACAGCATTTCCGGTACTCATATATTTAACATCAACTTCGCCTTGGACATCATTTTTTGCCTTAATAAATTCACCGCAAAATGTGGTATTAACTTTCAGGAATAAACATTTCTTTAAAATTTGACTAATTTTTTGGACAACAATCGTTTAAATATTGAATTAAATCTTTATGAAGTAAATTAATTATGACACCGGTCTGAACTCTTCCCTGGAAACACGACGCTACCGATTCCCATACAACCATTTCATTTGTGTTTGTCTCGCGGCTGCTACTTTCTAATCCCAATCCAAAATGCTTATGTTGATAATTAAGAATAATTTTTCTAATAGCTTTCAGATGTAGTTTGTAATTTTCTTTTTAATCCAATAGATAAATCCTTTTCGTTAGAAACGATTTGGTTGCAAGATTTAATATTTTTATTTAGTCTCCTAAGCCACACATCACTATCTCTAAGAGTGAACTTGTCGGAAATATGCTTTTTTAATTTTTGTAAGGTTAAAATTAAGATTTGCGCTCTATGAATGATCTGCTTTACGCGCATCGTGGTTTATTAAATATATAACAGTAAATAAGACTTACCCTGTATAATATGTTGATTAATTTTGAATTATTTTGAATTTTTTTAAAGAGTTGGGCTTTCCAATATCTTTGGATCCCTCGCAGATCAGTTTGTACTGCCCCGACGCAAAGTATTCTAGTCTCGGACGGAAAGCTTCTGTCACGCGAGTAGGAAGAAATACTACGGAATTTTCTAATTGCAGCAACACGGAATTGCCAAATTTTTGGAACAAAACTTTCCGTAATTGGGGTCATCAAATAATTTTAAAAATTGTTTATTTTTTAAAAGCCAAAATTCCCTTTTCTATTCACTGTCATTTAAAAGATATTAAAAACACTCAATTTACCCACAAGCACCAACGCCGATTTGAATAGACGCGATGTTGTCGCCAGACAACCGTGCAGGTAGGAGTCCCAGGGTCAACATGCTTTCAGACGGGAACGACTTGAGACGCAATCGCTTCGGACGTTGGACGAACGTATGTTGCCGCAAAAGATCAAGGCCAACTTGCTTTCATTTTTTACAATCTCCGTATGGGATGTGGAATTTCAAAACGCGCCGAGTCTAAATGTCAAGTTGTTTTGCTTGTTGAGAATAATAATTAATTGCCCGTTTATATTTGCTCCGTGGGATTAACGTAATGGGAAAAATTTGTTGAAACGCATGTGGAGGTGTCTTTGTTTGTTAACTTTTAGAAAGTATTCTCGCACCGTATAAATACATCTCATTTTTCTCTGTTTCGTCAGTAGTTGTTTTTGGTATTATTCGTGCAACGTGGAAGCTAACTTAGTGGTTTGGTGTTCGTGCCAAAAAGCAGTAAGTACCTTTTTTATTGTTTTATTTTAATCCTTTAACATTTGTTATTATTTTATAAAGGTCTTAAAGATCATCTTAGTACTCTCAACCCGTAACCGCAACTAGAATAGCAGCAATCTTAAGCGTAAGTTTTTTTATTTTTTTTATTTTTGAGATAAAATAATAATTAATAATAATTTATAGATGGACTTAAGTCAACTGAATCAAACCTGTCTTGCAGAAGGTGATTTTGAGCAGCCGATTGCTGCCGGTGCTGCAAAACACTTGTTGACAACGGCCTATGGTGAATCTACTTTGACCAAAAAAAAAGTTTATAAGTGGTACAAGATGTTCCAAGATGGCCGAGAAGAGCGTTGAAGAAGAAGAAAAGCGTTGCACTTTTTTCCGAAGTTTTGGGCATGAAACTTGTAGCAGCAAAATTTGTTCCGAAACTGCTTAATTTTGAACAAAAGGACTGTCGAAAGAGCTGTTAAACGACGTGAATTCGCCACTACATTCACCACGCCCCTGCGACTTTTTTCTGTTCCCAAAACTCAAGAAACCCATGAAAGGAAGCAGGATTGGAACGATTGAGGAGCTAAATAAAAAATCGCTAGAAGAACTCAAGGCTATACCAGAAGCTTCTTCGAAGATTGGAAAAAACGTTGGCTGGGAGGATTACTTTGAAGGGGACAAATAATATTAATTATGATAAATAAATATTTTTTGATAAAACTTTAAAGTCACCTTACTTCTTGAACACGCCTCATAGATATAATTTCTCCCAGAAATAAATGCATTATGGTAAATTTTTGAACGGTTTTATTTTAAAAGTTATTAATTCCAGAAATGGGGTATGTTATAAAAAAGTTGTTCTATTTAAAATAACAAAGTTGAGGTTACATCCCGAGTTTTCATGCTCCAAATGTTCAAAATCTTCAACCCTATTAACTTACCAAATTGTATATTTTTATCTGAAGCCATTTTAAAATGCTGCTGTGGACAGTAGTTTCATTGCCATTGTAATATTTGTTATACTTATTAAAAACGCTGTAGATCACATTGAAGTTTTACAAAACCTATGGAAGTCTTCACAACTTTGTAATTTATATGTTTGGAAAAGTGAAAATAATCAATTGTGTCGATTTTTCTCTCTTCTGAGATCGATTAAATTAAATCCAATTCCAAAAATGTATAGATGACAAATTGTGACAGCAAAACACGATGACATAGGACACTTCGCTTTTGATAAAACGCTTGAGCGTATAAAAGAAAGATATATAATATATGGCAGCGTGCATTCACTGTTTATACCACAAACAACTGGGTGGTAAAAAGATAGGATACCTTCACTCAATACCCAAATATGTACGAACTTATCACACACTCCATGCAGATCATCTTGGACCATTTATTAAGACAAAATGTGGAAATAAATATTTATTGGTAATAATAAAGGCTTTGACAAATTTCGTCTTTTTAACAGCAGTCGCAGATACGTCAAGTAAACATGTAATAACTACACTGGAAGAAATTTTTAAAATATTTGGTAATGCTAGGCGTTTTATAACCGACGCCGGAAAAGCATTTATATCACAAGAATTTAGTAACTATACTGCAGAAAGAGGCATAAGGGTATTCACCACGGCAGCTGGCATGGCGAGAGGAAACGGACATGTCGAAAGAGCAAACAAGATAGTGCTAGACTCGTTGGCAACAATGTTTGCCAAATTATATAGCGATAACATGGTATAACGCAAACAACACCTAGTGAATTATTTTCGGTTACAAATTAAGAGCAGATGGTGACAAATATGTCAGTGATGATAAAGTGAACACCATAGAGTTTTTCCATTAAGAAGGGAGGCAGCTAAAAAGCTTGAAGACAACAGAATGAAACAAATTGAGCGATTTAACAAAAAAAAAGGATCAATTTGTTGTAGGGGACTTACTTTTGACTAAGATTACTAGTTTTCCAGCAAACCATAATGAAAGCAAAAACTACTCGGCAAATACAGCGGACCTTTTAAAGTGATTGAAGTTTTACCCAATGACAGATACAGGGTCAAAGAAGACATCCATTCCGCTAGGACTACAAGACGTGCGTACGAAGCCGTAGTAGCCAGTGAACACATGAAATTGTTTAAATCTCAAAAGATTTAGGTGAGCGTATCTGACGCATGTACGTAATAGTTAAGTTTTGAATTTCTGATTCACCTGTGACGTACACAAATTTAAGTTTTGAATTTCTGATTCGTGACGTGTGACGTATCTCACGTACACAAATTTAAGTGTTGAATTTCTGATTCACCTGTTTGTATATCATGGGTGATGGTACGCTCGAGGATGATCGTGTGGTCAGGATGGTCGAGTGCCGTCGGCACCTTTTTATCATCAAAGCGACAGGCCGTCGCGTCATTCACACAGAACGATACCGTCGGCGTCCTTTATCGGCGACTCAACCCCGTCTCCCATATTGTAAACACTATTAGTTTTATATTACTTTTAGAGGCCCACTAAAGGATAAAGTTAGGCCTGGGTCATTCAGTTATTAAAAAGCTTTGAATGTAACTATACAACTCTTTGCCGTGCATGTAATGTTTAGATCGAACTATTAAATGTATGTTAGCGATATCTTTTATATGGCCGCCAAAAGTCACGTATGCCGAGTCAGGGCGGACGAGCGGCATGCCGTTCCAGCCACGCAAGAACGAACGGCAGTACGACGAGCTGAAAGCAACCAATGTTGTAATAGGTGGACGAATAGATCAGTACTTTGGGGTGTTTTGGGGAGAGTTTTATTCTGGGTTGAAACCCTTACGCAACCCCCTACAGTTAACATGTATTAAAAACTAGTATATATTTCATAAAGACTATATAAAGCAGATAGGAAGCGAGAGAGATAGAACAAAGCTGTCGAAAACTGAAATAGATACAAAAGTCTATGCAACTACGCTTTCTCATCCCTCAAACGTGAAAAGCTGCATATATCAAATTTGTTACCTCTAAAGATATTGCTACGATCTGGAGCCGTTTAAAAAGAGTAACATCCAGAACTAACATCGGTATATCAGATTTGGGTAACCTTACTTCGGTCGTGCCACAGGGATCAATTCTTGTGGTATCTCTTCTAGACAGTTGATATGTCTAATGAGGTTGAATTTTCTCAAATTCATTCATATGCTCTTGACACCCAACTGTTACAAACATTTAACTAGAATAATTATGATAACGTTGAAGCTAATTTTAGTTCGGAACTTAACAGTTTTTCTCAATATAGTAAAAAATACAATCTTAAGCTAAATTATAAAAAAATACATTATGCTTTTTCCTCCCCCAGGAAGCTATAATTTTTTGTGAGATCATATTAAAATGCAATTGGAAAATCAAAATCTTAAATTTACAAATGAAGCAAAAAACTTAGGGAGCGCTAATGGATGGTCAACTGAGATTTAGTGGCCACATTTCTAATTTATGCAAAAAGACTAATATATCCCTTAAAACCCTATATGCAAATAAACATATATTGAATTTTAAAATAAGAAACAAGCTCTTTGAGGATGGCATCTGTTGGACTTTGTGAAAGACTCGACAACAAGGCTAATAGTGCGAACCTAGCGTGACTGCGGGGCGGCACGACGAGAGCCGAGAGAGCTTTGCAAGACGTCGATAGAGACGGTGGGAAGAAAGAAGCGAGACGGAGCGAGGGCGAAGTAGTCGGGAAGAGCAAAGCGAGCCGTCACAGAATTTGTTATTAGGTTTTCTTCGTTTCTAAGTGTTTCTTAAAAATAAAACAGTAATTACAATCCACTCGAATTGTCATCAATCTCGTCCCTGGAAACAGGGTGGTCCTTCGTCAGCAACCCCAACATTTGGTCCTTCGAGCCGGATTCTATGAAGATTCGCGGCCAATTCAAACAGACATAGGATCGGAAGGAAAGAAAACAGCCTTTGGAACTCGAGAAACACGAAACGAATCGGAAAAACACGGTGAGCTCGTTCTATGCTTCCTATCTTTTCCCCTCCACGTATTTGTACCAGTTTCTATCCTACGCAAACGTAGTTAGAAATCTGCATGTTTTAATCACGCATCAAAAAGTTCACGTTCTTGAATCGCATCGAAAAATCGTTCACGGAAATAGCAAAATTCTCGAAAAACAACACGAAACAAAAAACCTTGTTGATTTAACGCTTCTCGAATCGAAACAAAAAGAAAAATCTATAAACAATCACGTCATTCATCTCATTTTCAACCAAAATGCCCTCGAAAGGAAAATCGGAAAAAACACGCGTTCGCGATGAGGAAATTTTGGAATTGAAACATACTCGACACGTAATTTGCGAAAGGTTATCTCGATTCTCGGCATTTTTGAGTTTGCAATTCGATGACATTTTTCAAATCGACTAGAATATCTCGTTCAAAATGAAAACGCGGCACGTTTAGACAAAGAATCGGAATTTTACGCGGCAATCTCTTTAGCAAAAAGATTAATCGCAAACGCAAATGAAAAAAATCACAAACAATTTTCAAAGGAACCGACTTCGGTCGCAGTAACGAGTCGAAACGTATCGAACCCTGTTGCCAAACTTCCAGATCACGGTTTACCAAGTTTTCACGGAAAATACGAAACATGGTACAGTTTCAAAGACATATTCGAATCGGTGGTTCACAACAGAAATTGACAAATTTCTGTATCTCAAAATTTATTGTAAAGACGATGCATTAAATGTAATCAATTCGATCGACGTAACAGCGGCAAACTATTCCATAGCTTTAGATTTATTAAAAAAGCGCTATGACAACAAGCGCGCAATAATAAATTTTCACGTAAACAATCTTCTTTTCAATTTACCGAATGTATCACGGGAATCAGCCCCTCATTTACGAAAGCTACTGGATACAGTGCATCAGCACCTATCTGCTTTAAAAAAGTTATCTTTACCAATTGATCAATGGGACACCCTACTCATACCTCTTATTTTACAAAAATTGGACGATCTAACCATTCGAGACTGGGAAAATAAACAATCAGATCAAAATTTAGCAAAGTTGCAAGAATTAATCGATCTTTTAACAAAGAAGTGTTTTACTCTCGAAGCAAACCCAAGTAAAATCAATTTTCATCAAAATTCTTCAAATTCAAAAAAAGAACCAAAAAATTTTACTAGAGAAAGAGGTACTTATGCTGCAACAACAAATTCATCAGAAAACAAATGTAGCATTTGTCAAGAAAATCATTTCATTTATCTTTGCCCCAAATTCTTAGAATTATCGAAAAATACGACGAAATAAAAAAAACAGGTTGTGTAGCAACTGTTTAAGGTCACGACATTTAAAGTATCAGTGCAAGTCTGCAGGATGTAAAAAGTGCAAGTTCAAACATAATACAACCCTGCATGCAGATACCCAAATTCAAACCAAATCTGTAGAAAAAAATACAGACAACGCATCGCATAACCCGCATAGCGAGGAAAACACGCGCGACGAACAAAAAACGCTCGCAAATCCTAGCCCTACTATGTGCGTTATCGACCGGAATACAACTTCGCAAGCGCCAGAAGTTACAGAAACCATTTCTTTAAATTTCAATTACGACACGCAAGTTTATTCAACAACGAACACAGATCAAATTTTATTGTCGACAGCAATAATTTTTATTGAAAACCACAAAGGAAATTGGCATAAATGTAACGCATTATTAGATTCAGGCAGTCAGTCGAATTTAATAAGTCAATCTTTGTGCAAAAAGTTAGACCTCAAATGTGACAAAATAAATGTTTCTTTAACAGGTGTAAGTCAAATCGTGACACACATCAATTTCAGAACACGTACAAACATCAACATCAAGGCTCGGTTCACTTCTTTTCAAACTACATTATCATTTTTAGTTTTGTCACGAATAACAGAAAAATTGCCACTACACGGATTTGACAAGTCTATAATAAAATGTCCAAAAAATATCGATCTAGGGGATGAAAACTTTAACGTACCAAAAGAAATTGATGTACTCTTAGGAGCCGAAATATTTTTTGAACTTTTAGACAATGAAAAAATAAAATTAGGAAAAAATATGCCACGCCTACAACAAACGCGTTTAGGTTGGATTTTCACGGGGTGTTTAAAAAATGAAATTCAAAACTCAAAATCTATTTGCAATTTAACTAGAAAAATAACAAACGAAACCTTGCATGATTCCTTAACCAAATTTTGGCAAATAGAAGAACTTACCAACGAAAAAAGATTATCCAAAGACAACTACTCGAAACAGGAACGGACAATTTATAGTGCGGTATCAATTCAAACAAAATTCAAACATTCAGTTAGGTGATTCTAAAACAACCGCTTTGAAAAGATTTCAAAATTTAGAAAATCGTTTCAACAAAAATCAAGCGAAATTCGAATTGCGTAAATGGTCATCGAACAACCAAAATGTGTTAAATTACATTTCTCGTTCAAGTAACAACAATGATGACAAATTTGTTTTATTTCACGATGAAAAAGAATTGAAAATTTTAGGGAGTTCATGGGACCCTAAAACAGATATTCTAAAATACTCCGTCGATTTAAAACCAATTAACGAAAAACATGTAACAAAACGCTCAATACTCTCGACAGTTGCGCAAATATTCGACCCTCTAGGTTTAGTAGGCCCGGTAATAGTCAAAGTAAAATTGTTAATACAACGATTGTGGCAACTAAAATTAGATTGGGATGAATACGTGCCCGAAAACCTTAAAGATATATGGTTACAGTTCTGCTTAGAAATTGACATACTAAACAAATTAAAAATAAACAGACAGGTTTTGGTAGTGAACGCAGAAGCTATTGAAATTTACGGTTTTTGTGACAGCTCCGAAAGGGCATACGGTGCATGTGTCTATTTAGGTTCTAGAAATAAACACGGCGAAAAGCAAATCAATCTTTTAACCGCGAAATCAAAGGTCGCGCCACTGAAGAAGCAATCTTTACCACGCTTAGAGCTTCTAGCTGCACATTTATTAGCAAAATTAATTTATAAATTAAAGGAAACTTTAAATGTAAAAATTCAAAAAACCACTTATTTTACTGATTCAACAATCGTTTTATCGTGGCTTAAAATCGAACCTTGCCATTTAAAAACGTTTGTAGCAAACCGAATTGCAAAATAACAGAAATTTCAGAAATAAATGATTGGAAACATGTAAACTCGAAAGAAAATGCGGCAGATATCATTTCGCGAGGCTTAAACCCCAAACAACTTTTGGAGATTGATTTGTGGTTTTACGGTCCATCATTTTTGAAAAATAATTCAGAAATTGAGCAGGAAAATTTAAATTTGGAAAATTTAGAAAATTTACCGGAATTAAAAAACAACACAAGTACTATCACGTTAAATTCTACATTATATGTGAACAAACCAAAAGAAAACAAATTCGAATTATTTAAAGAATTCTCAAATTTGTCAAAATTACAAAGAATTGTGGCATACATTTGTAGATTTAAAAATCGAACTTTGCAAAAAATTCCAATAACGACACAAGTTTTAACAGTTCAAGAATTAGATGAAGCATTTTTAATTCTAAGAATTAATTCTAATTTTAAGAAATTTCTAACATTCAACAATCAAAAACGTAAATGTTAACAGCAAAATTTTCAATTTGCATCCATTTTTAGATACCAATAACATTCTTCGAGTAGGTGGGAGATTAAAAAATTCAAACTTGAAATTTGATCAGCAGCATCAAATAATTCTTCCATATAAACATGAATTGACAGATTTATTAATACGCAAAATTCATCTTGAAAATTTACACGTAGGAACACAAAATTTACTGTCAATTATTAGATTACAATTTTGGCCAGTAAATGGTAAAAACGCTGTAAAACGAATAGTCAAGAGTTGCATTAGGTGCTACCGCGCGAATCCAAAACCAGGAACATTTTTAATGGGATCTCTACCGAGTTCTAGAGTCATATCGAGCAGACCTTTTGCAAATCGCGGAGTTGACTATGCAGGTCCAATCTTCGTTAAGGAAGGAACCTTACGTAAGAGTAAGTTAGTAAAAACTTATATATGTATTTTTATTTGTTTTGCAACAAGAGCAATACATATAGAGTTAGTAATGGATTTGACTACAGATAGTTTTTTGAATGCTTTAAAGAGATTTTGTTCACGACGCGGGAAACCAACCAATATTCATTCAGATAACGGTTTAAACTTCGTCGGGGTAAATAACCATTTTTTAGAACTACACAAATTAGTCAATAACAAAGAACATAACGATAAAGTTTATTCTTTTTTGGCTGAGGATAAGATAAATTGGCATTTTTTACCAGCAAGATCGCCTCATATGGGTGGCTTATGGGAAGCGGCAGTCGAATCAACAAAGTTTCATCTCAGACGTGTATTAGGTGAATCATCTTTAAATTATGACGAAATGTACACATTACTAGTGCAAATAGAGTCATGTTTAAATTCGCGTCCCTTAACTGCAATTTCTAATGACGTTTATGATTATACACCTTTAACCCCTTCACATTTCCTCATAGGCGACTCACTCGTCAGTCCTCCGCAATTGGACGTAAAAAATTAAAAAAAAATCTCGATTGTCGAGGTATCACAGACTACAGCAATTGTACCAACAGATTTGGCAACGTTGGTCGAAGGAATATCTTGGCAGCCTTGAAGTACGATCCAAATGGCAAAGGGATTCAGCCGACAGCGTAAGGCCTGGTGCATTGGTCGTATTAGTTGAAGACAACGTACCCCCACTACGCTGGCCTATGGCGCGTGTTACTGAAGTCCATAGTGGTTTAGACGGTATAGTGAAAGTTTTGTCAGTGCGCTTACCGAATGGTACAATTTTAAAACGCTCAGCGGCAAGAGTATGTTTTTTGCCTGTAGAAAACTAAGACAGTATTAGCAAAGTGTTTTTAATTTTCACGCTCTCCCAATTTTCGCGTTCTAATTTCTTTTTTGAAAAGTAGACTTTTCAAAGGGGGCGGCATGTTGGACTTTGTGAAAGACTCGACAACAAGGCTAACAGTGCGAACCTAGCGCGACTGCGGGGCGGCACGACGAGAGCCGAGAGAGCTTTGCAAGACGTCGATAGAGACGGTGGGAAGAAAGAAGCGAGACGGAGCGAGGGCGAAGTAGTCGGGAAGAGCAAAGCGAGCCGTCACAGAATTTGTTATTAAGTTTTCTTCGTTTCTAAGTGTTTCTTAAAAATAAAACAGTAATTACAATCCACTAGAATTGTCAACAATCTCGTCCCTGGAAACAGGGTGGTCCTTCGTCAGCAACCCCAACAGCATCCTTTCTGAGATCAAGATCTTAAGCTAGATTTGGCCGTTTGAGATTTGTAACTAACCAAAACTATATTAATTTGTATTGGTATTAAATAATTTTACAAACTTATATAAAATCATAAATAAGAACGAAAATAACAAATTACCATCAATTATTTTCAGGCAATGATTTGTGCAAAAAAATAAATTTCACAGAAAATGGTAAAATTCCCTCAATCTTTCTCTTGAGAGGGCGCGTATGCAACAGGATTATAGAAATTATGTTGATCACGTTGAAAGTGAATTGCAAAAAAAAAAACAACAAATAAGCAACTCCATTCCGTCGAAATGGTTTATAATGTTGCCCAAAGAGATCCAACATAAATTTCTTAATTTTTTTCTGCATATTTCAGTAGCGTGTTTACCCAACCAAACAATGTTCGAGTAGATGATTCTTCCTTGATTCTCAACCATTTTTCAGACTTGGTTTTATCGACAGAAAAGGTCACTTCAATTTTGGCCAAAAAATGCTGAACTACATTAGCTATTCACCATCTAATTAGAAATCGGATTCGATGTAAAGAACTAGCACCCAATTAGCATTCTCTACACTTTTGAACTTTGTTTACAAGCATATTTTCTCCCTGTTCAAAAGAGAAACTGTAGACGATTAGCATGGGTATGTGAAAAGTAGATTGAAGTAATCGATTCCGATTCTAGCAAGACCTTCAAGAAAATAAACCATGCAATCTTGGTTGCGATTGTTGCAGAGATAGGGGGGATATAAATCAATATGTCAATGTGTTCCACTGTTCTTCCAGCTTGGTGTTTCCAAAGACAAAATAAAACTGCTACTAAAAATGTATGTTTTTATCCTTTATTAGCTAAGATCTGAAAATAAAGACAAAACTACCCAGTGCACAAGGAAGACTGACTCCCTCTTACACTTTTTAAAAAATAAAAATCAGTTTATATCAAATTTATTCGAACGGAAATAGAAATAATTGTTTTCACATATCAATTTATAAATATTTTAACGAACATAACATTACACTACCTGGATATTATACAAGCCATGTGCCTCAATATAGTATAGGCTGCAGCAACGTTTTTCGAAAAAAAAAAAAAAAATTGAACATGCTGATATTTTGTATGTCATATTATAATAGACAACTTTTGATATACATGCCAAACGTCTAACTCCTGGAACTGGTTGCGTTTGCCTTTGTGTAGTCCTCCTGTAGAGGTCATTTTAAGCAGAATTTTGAATATCTAAAACTAAATAATAAAATTTATAAAAGCATTTTAATTTTTAGTAATTGAAAAAAATTCCATATTTAAAAATTTCATTTAACATTATTTAATTTAAACTAACCAAAAACTGTCAATTTCATTCATGCATATTTTATATATGTATAATTTCAATTATAATTTTTTGGTATGTATTATTTTAGACTATAAAAAAATCAAATTACTTCTCATCCTCTGTTATGATAACAAAATAATATTAAAATTTCAGCTGCACAAGCATGATTTGAATTTTTTTTGTGTCAATTTAAACTTACTATATAAAATTTATTTTTAAAAAAGTCTGTTTAAATTGATTTAAAATTCGAAATTTTCACCAGGCTGCAACTTCCAGGTGCGTATGTGCGTCGGTCTAATTTTTTCAATACACCTCTAACATTATTTACAATTCCCTCTGGATTCTTTCTGAGTCAGTTGCTGATCAATAGAATTAGTTGACATTTAGAGCTTAAGTGAAACTGGCTTACATTCTTCTTATTTACAGTGTGAAGGAGGCGGAGCTTAAGGATATAACGTTCATGTCCCTCTTCTAGCTCCGCCCCCTCAAGCCGTGTATAAGCAGGTACAGAGTAGAATACTCAATCTCAAACTCAACCTCTGAGGAAGTCAACTGGATAACTAGACGAAACGTCAACAAATTGTAATTGTCAAGAATCGACGCAGGAGGAATCCAGGAAAATTGTAGATAATATATTTTTCTGGACTTTGCTACCTCTTTGCCTTCGAATATTGCCTAGTTTTTATACTATCCAGCTAGTTTACAAACTACACAAGATTTATCTATCCAATTAACTATAAACTAAAGAAGGCTAGATAAAACTTTGTGTACTTTGTATTCTGGTGACCAGTCTTATATACTTTATAAATTAGCTTGAATAGTAGCTCATATAATATCCAGCTAGCTTTTAAACTATGCAAATAAACACTCCACTGGTAAAATATACATTCTAATAGGGCCATTTACTTTCAGAACAGAGAACCACCTAAAGAAAACATAGGTACATACTACCTATACCTATTTATTGTTAACTGCTCTTTCGTCACTTGCGAGCAATTGCTGTGAACCTTGTTCTATGCACGAAATTTACTGATAAATTATTCAAATCATCATCATATTAAGAAAATTGGCCCCGTACAATGTCTTTACAGGAGAATTTGGTGTTGTTAAGGTTTAAGGCTGCCTTGGGCTCACCACTGCCTCCATCACTAAAGCTTGGAGACATTTGAAAAAACATCAACCATACACTAACTTCAACAAATTCTAAAAAATTAAATAATACTGAGTTGCAGCACAAATTATTGTAACAACCAGCTCGATCATGCTTTTGAAGAAAATGAAAGAAAGAAATTAGAACTTACCGAGTTGGTTTGTTATTATAATCTGCGCTTTCAGTTCATAACTTCAAATCACTAGCCTCAGAGTAAAATAAACTCGTAATTAACTAAAGCTGAACAAAGGACTATTGAAATTATAAATCAATACTTAAATTTAATGGGTCTCGTAGCCCGGGAAAAGTAGATTCAGCGCACTTCTTAAGTTCATATTGACCTGGTCCCCCATAACCAAGTCCTCCTCCAAACTTTCCCTGCAATAGGGGCAGGAATACGAATTCAACAGGCGGCGTGTGAAGAATTCTTTCAAGCATGCCTAAAAAACGTTGTACACATAAAAACAATTAAAATAGTTGCATAGGTTCAGCCAATACTTGATGAAAGTTAACAGCCATATTAAGATTTTTTAAATTTATTAATTTCCAAAGTTTCAAGTAAATTTAATTTGTGCCCTTTACTCTGAAAAGAAAAAATTTTAAATTCGAAAATCGTAGGAGGTACCTTTCATTACAGTTTTTTCACCAATTATATACCTCATTAATGCCCTCATTTGCTGAGCCAACTGAATTTTCATGTAGCTTCTTTAAATATACCGATGTTTTCCGTCTTAGTAGCTCATTTACCACTTTAATTAAAGATATATTCGGCTACAGTGAATATAATGTATTACATACTTTTACTATTCATTCAATGGCGAAAAAATATACTTTAGGTTAGATGTTACTAGATGTTAGGCTAACATTGTCTTGTAAATGGAAAATAATTATTATTACCTAGACTTAGATTTTGTTAGTTTGAAAAACTTTGGGTGTTAACGAAACATGTAATTTTGTTTTCTAAACCAACCATTATACAATAAAAGTAAGCTCGGAAACTCTTACCTGACAGAAATTATGGCCGCACTGCCCTGTAACCGGTTGGAAAACCAGCTCTCCGCAGATGACGCACATAAATGTTTTCGCGACTTTATCTAGGAATTTCTGCCTTCCCTCTTTGAGAATGCTCCGGCACTCCGACCACATCTTCTCGTTTATTTTGTCTGCTGTTATAGCATTTTCCACTTTCACGTCCAAGGCGTAAGCTTCGCGTCTTGGAAACTTGATTTTAATCTTTTCGCCGGACTCATTACCGCGTTTGCGTTTCGAAGATTTTGAATTTTCTTTGTTTGCAGAGTCCGCCCTTTGTTTTGCCTGCTGGGCTTCCAAGAATCCAGGGGGATACTGGAATGGTTGACAACTGAGAGACCTGATTACATGATTTATTTATCAAGCATCCTCTATGAACAAAAAAAAACTCAAGGGGAGAGGGAGAGGGAGGGAGGGAGAGCGAGGGAGGCAGGGAGGGGAGAGAGAGAGGACTATAATTAAGATTTTCAATGTTTGTTTTTATTTCGAATTCAAAATTTCTTAGAAATCTCTTCTGCACTCGTTTTCTATTTGATTCACTAATGATTCGCCAACCCCACCACTGGATTAACTTGGAATTATTAACATAGTATAACGAATTTATTTTATTTACATTTTTGGGTTAAAAAAATGCAAAAGCACTTTACGGAATTCAAAAACAGGCCTCAAATCGCAAAACATCTTCCTGGAACCCAAGGCACTCACCAATCTTTATTATTTTTATCTTTACTTATTTTTGATCAACTGCGGAAAGTTGTATTTTGCCGTGAATGTAAAATTTTTTAATTGTGTTTATCTAGATTATAGAAAAAAACAGGGGTCCCACATGGCTACCCTGTGGTACACCAGAAGTGATGTTAAAAAGATTCAACTGATGTAAGAGTTAGACAGTCTAAAGATGATGGTGTTTATGATCTTTATTTTATTTATATTTGTACGACGTTCTAACAAACAAAGGAATTGTGTTGCAAATCTACTAAAAATATAACTCAATGCGGACAAAACTAATAACTCAAGATTTGTAATTTTTAATTGTTAAGTTATTTATTACTTGTAACCAATCCCAAAAGCTTTCTAAAGTAATACAGACGTTTTGGATGCAACATTAATTTTTTTTTACACTTAATGTACCTCTGAGCTTTCGAAAAAAACAAATCTAGAACACAATCAGTACGATTTTTGTTTGCATAATGTTTTTAAAAATTTAAATTAATATAGTTTGGTTACTTTTGGTTAGTTCACAACAATTGATAACAGTGATTGCTTATGTCTAGATATATAAGAAATATAAATCCAAATATCGTCCCCTTTTCAATGAAGTTAAAATGGCTGCTAATGATGCAGTTAAAGCTCTTGGAAGGCACTTAGACAATAAGTTAATTAGGGAAAAACATAGCGGTGAGGTATAAAAAAAAATGCAAATTTTGATACATAACTCGAAAATTTTTAGTTTAGAGATTTCGATTCACTCTTAATATGATACTTTCATTCCCGAGCGATGAGTGATCTGGGTTCCGGGATAAAAATTCTTGGATTTGCAAATACTGACCCTCCCATTTAATTACACACCTCTCTTACCTAAAAAGGTTTGTGATTTCCATTCCTACAACACTTAATGCATGAATGATCTGATCCTATATTATAACAGAACTCAAAAGGCAAGAGATGGTCAAAACTATGTTGGAATAAAATTCATTAATGTGCTACACGATTGGGTTCAGAACTTTAATTTTACCAGATTTCGTAATTTCATTACATCATAAATAAAAAAATATATATGATTTCTGTAATATGGAAAAATCTCATGGTCCACAGGTGTTTTTGGAGTATATTTTTGCACTGATTTTTGACTACACTAAAGTAAGTTTTAAATATTTTTTTCAGTCCGTTGCAGACACTTGTTTTGACATTGTACTGATGACATGAGAAAATACCTATGAAGGTTGAAATTACTTTTTGCACCAAAAGTAATATGCTTTGAAACACACCATACTGCAACATAAGTAAGAATTTCTGAGAAACATGTTAGAATTTGAGAAACCAGTCAAAACTTACGACAAAACCCAAAACTTCTGAGAAATATATCAGAATTACTGACTCAAGTCAAAATTTATGAGAAAAGTCCGGGGACCATGTGAGAATTTCTGAGAAATAAATCATTGCGAATCGAAACATTAGATATACAGGTCAATTCATAAAGAATGTACAATCTCTTTAATCTGGCAGTAATAGACACAAAAACATGAAGGAGTTCAACATGCTTCAAACAAATGTCGACGGTTTCGGAAATACAGAAGGTTAAATGTTTATTCCGAATTTTTTCATTAACTTGAAAAATTTTTATAGTGTAATAATAAAAATTAGAAGTTTGAAGTATTTTGACATGACAATTACCAATTTGAAACTTATTTGCGCGTTGCTCCAAGAGGGCGCTAGTTACACCACAATATTTAGATAAATCAAATCTTTTTTTTTTAATGAAAGATAATAGAAATCTGAAACTACTCTGTAGGTTTTTGACTTAATTAACAATAAAAAACTAATATATAACAGTAATAATTTTGGTAATAGTAATGGAAAAAAACTTTAAATTAAATGTTGATTTAATAATATTTTGACTTGTTTCTCAGAAATTCTGCATTATTCCTTTAATTAATTATCATCAATCAATTAAATCAATTAAATGAAAACGTATATTTTATATTTGGTGACCTTTGAGTGCTTTCGCACCATACCAACGTCACAGCGTTATATAAAGCTACTCACAATCATGTCGAAAGTCTTAGCATCGCTCTCCCACGGCGCAGGCGCGGGATCGTCCCTCCTCAAAAGATATTTCCACACCAAGTACCCGGATTTTTCCTTTATGGGAAAATACTTCACTACTTTGTAGAGGCCGTCGTATCTGAAACCTTCATCGGGAGCGAACTCGGAATATTTTTTAAGCTTGTAGCTCCTGACGACGCGAACGGGTCTGCCTTTTTTCCAATCTTGGGAGTCCGCACCGTTTTTCTTGTCGAACGGGGCGTTGCAATTCAGCGCTAAAGCTCTAAAGAACAAAGTAAGTGGCGTTTTAAGTACACTGAGGTGTTGACTTTAAACGAAGTACTGACTTATTGGTACGTGTCAGTTCTTGATCGAAAATTTGATGGCCGGTCCTTTTGTTTCCGCTTAGACCTCGGCCTCCCGATCCTGTATAATAAAACTCATTTCCGTTGTCCTCATCGTCTCGGTAATCTAAGGAAAATATAGATAGAGCCCTCGTGGTCAAAATACAACGTTTAAGTTTTAAGTTTTTAAGTTAATTTATTTATTTATATAAAGGCAACACTTACAATACATTGTGTTCTGATAAAAAAAAACAAGTCAACAATATGTTTTTGTAATTACCTATTCATTCAATCGCTAATTCTCGGAAAAGTATGCCAAAAAAATCATACTAATACTCTCTTCCTTTGGAAAAATTTTGTTATTTGGACTGAACAACACATCCACACATGAGACACAACTGTCAAATTTTATAGGAAACAAGTCAAAATAAAATTTTTATATAGAGTGTTCGCTATCAAAAATAGCTTTTAGAAATCATAAAATATGTTTTTTTATTTTCTTTTTTCCAATTTGTCTTTAAATGTCATTTTTTAATTATATCAAAATTCCTAACTAAATGTCTTAAACATTTTTTGAACTGAGGTGGCTTTTACTTGATGAAAATCTATTTACCAAAATAAATAAGAACTAAAAGTCCAGATTTTCAGGAAATTATTATATTTTAAATGACAATGGTTTCGACAACACCGTGTCTTTATCAAATGTAATATTTACAAACTACCTGCTACTATATATACCGAAAAATGACCATAAAACCTTAATTAACGTTGTTGTGAGAATTTCAGTTCAATAAAGGAGAGGTATTTAATTGAATGTCTCATTTTGTTAATCTCCATGGCTTCCAATAAAATTAATTTTCTACTTTATGTGGCTGTATGTAAAATATCAAAACTGTCGTCAAAAATGTATTTTTTTGTGTTTAAGTGTGTAGCATAATTAGAATCTAGACTATGTGCGTTAATGCTTTTCTTGAAGGATCTACCTGTTTGTCCAATATAAATTTTAGGACAAGATCAGCATTTCAACCTGTAGACACTCAGGCAGAGACCAACGTGAGAGCATTTTCCGCGTGACAGAATTAATATCTCGAGTGCCGTCGAGTATTGCGAAATTGTGCCGGTCAACAGCCAGAGCTACATCAAGGTAGGCCGAGAAGAAAAGAGATTGTCATTTTTCGTCTCGTTACATCAATATATAATTTTTTGAATCGCCCCGTTATTTCTAGCTTCAATTAAACAAAAAATTACAGTCCATTGCTCTTTCTCGTCCACAGATTTTTGAGATTTTGGACATTTCGTTTTGTTGTTAAAATATTTTCCTATTGAGTTGCTAGTTCTGAAAGCTATTTTAAAACCACATTTTGACAAATGTTTTGAAACTTTTTCACTAGGTTCTCCTATGTATGCAACTGTTTTAAATTGTTCGTGTTCTGTATTAGGTTTCGGATAAACAGAGTTTACTGTTGTCTGAATTTGTTTTTTATTTATAATTTTATCTATAATGGACGGATTGTAGCCGTTGTTCAGTGCAATTTGTTTAATGATATTAAGTTCTTTGTTGTAATTTTGGCGTGGCGTATTAAGAAGTCTGTGTATAAAAGAGTGAAATGCAGCCATTTTGTGTGTATAAGGGTGATTTGAGCTGTTATGTATGACTGTGTCCGTGTGTGAAGGATTAATTTGTGTTGCGCTTTCGTAATAGTTAAGTCTAAACAATTACTAGAGTTATCCTGTTCAATCTCGATAGCGAATTTTATACGATTATGTAATGAATTAATGTAATTTAAAAGAGAATTCAACTGTCTGTCCGTTCCAACAAAGCAAGCAAAGACATGATGCACGTATCTATACCACCATAAAAAACTTTTACTTAAATGATGTTCTAGTATGATATTTTCCAACAAAGGACTAAGTGGGTTTCCCATAATCAAACCTTCTTTAGAGATGTAAATCTGTCCATTAAATTCAAAATAATTTTGGTCTAAAGATACTATTAAGCAATCTAATAAATCTTGTTTCGCCAATGGGTTAACCTGTTTCCGAGTTGTTGTCGAAACAATTGTCATGTAAAAATATATAATTTAGTGAAAATCTGAACTTTTAGTTCTTTTTATTTTGTTAAACATTTCTATTAAGAAAATCACTTTGTTAAAGTTGGCGACAAATACTAACAAATTGATATTTAATAATTTAACACTAAAAGGTCTTAAGCATATTTTTATATATTATGAACTTTACTTAATGGTTTTTTTATTATGACGACAACAATTATTCACATAACCTAAAAATTAATTTTCAAAATCTTTTAAGGTTATTGAAAAGTACATTCCCAAGTTTTAAAAAAATCAAAAACCTTCTTGACGAAGAAGTAGACAAAATTAAAATCATCACTTGTGGCAATATCTTCAATTAAATTGTTTTTCAAAATTCTATAAAATTAAAATAATATTTATGATTTCAATCGTTATTGGATAATTAAAGCTTTAGATAAGTTAATATACCCAATCAATTAAAATACATTTGTATTTTCTATACGCTAAATAAATATTCGCTGTCCCTATTTGCATTTTTGTCTTTTTTTTTTTATAGAAAACGATAAAATTTCGAATTTTGTGTCAATTAAAAACACTATTATTTTATAGGGTTTTTAATAATAACAACATTCATGACATGCTATAATTGTCATAACTAAACAAAAGTTGTGACGTTATGAGCGAGGATTTCATTTTTGGCTAATTCCGACCTTAATGAAAAAAAAAACTATAATATATTTTTTTAAAATACTGTATTCGAACTATTTTTTTAAAATGTAAAGTTAGAGGGATTAACATTTACAATAGATCATTAAGTACAACATGAAAGCAATTTTAAGAAGTAACCATAATAGCAAGGAGCCATGTCAAATCAACGAAAAAATATTTTACTGTAATATTGAATTAAATAAATCTCATAATACTCTAAGACTAGAGACGCTAAGAGAAGTTTGTACTTATAGTATAAAAAATATGTAGTAGTTCAAACTTACCAGCAGAAAGAAGTATACTGTATGCACAATCTGTTTCCTGTCCGTGAATTAAAGCAACGGGCGGCCGATGTACACCAGATTCGGCAACCTGAAAAATGAAAAATTCAATCCGAATTATTTCCCATAGGCTCTACAAAAGAACTAACCCCATGTCTAAACTTCCAGCAAAATCCAACCTCGATGTTCGGTATGGCCCCTACGTGCGATTTCTTCAGATTATTCTGGTTGGTGAGTCCCGCACATGTCATTCCTTCCCCCCAATCGTGTGTCGTTTCTTTTTGTTTACTCGGCATTTTCTCCCTCTTTTTGCTAGGCTCGCTAGACTTTACAATTTTTGAGTCATCGGTTTTACAAAATGGACAGTACCTTTAATAATAGAATCAATAAGTTATCAAATAGGAAAATATTAACATGAAAGAAAACAAAATGAACCTCTTCATTGGGCTATAAAAATAGCCTGATGTACTGAAAAGTTGAACATTAATTCCATGTTTCTTATTATTATTAGATCTTAAATTACATTTGGAAAGAAAACAATGTATTAAAATTTTAGACGAGGTAAGCGAGCAAAGGGGAGTAGAGTGTGGTGTGCCACAGGGCTTAACTGTATTCAATTGGAATGTGATTGTTTCGAGATATAATAAGGAAAACACAAAAACAGTAGCACAGATTGCTCTACAAAAAATAAAATGATGGCTAGACATAATGAATGTTGAAAAAAGAAAAATTGTTATGTGTTTACTCTCTTTTCGAAAAGAACGAAGGCAGAAAGAAATCTTGCGTATGTTACAGGCAAAATAAGATAATTTATATTTAAGTATTATGAATGAAGAAATTTCCCCACTCTAAAATCGCTAAAAATGGTGGAGTCAATAATAAATTACTGCATTGTTTGGAGTGTAGCTGGTGTGAGTATTTTAAATAAACTAAAATGTATGTGACCGAGTTAATAATTAGAAAAAGTGAATTATGCAATATTAGCTAGATACACCAAGTTATTATAAACATGATATTAATCATGGTCAAAATACTAGAAATGCACAATAAAAAAATTTTAAATACAAAACTACAAACACTCAACATGTCAAATGCATCATTAATATTTATTTCCCAGTTTTTAATACTCTTCCTAACTATATTAGAAGAAACCCACATTTCAATTTTAGAATTCCTAATGGTATGCAGTATCAGGAAAAATTAAGGTAACTATTCTTTTATTAATATCTACAAGTTTATAAATCTGGTGTACCACAAGTTAATCAAAAAGAATAAAAAGTATAAAAAGAATAAAAAGTAAAAAACAGTTTGTCAAGCGGTTCATAGAGCTCAATCACCAGAGATTGCGGATAAAGTAATTTGAAGAAAAAAAAAACAAAAATCAGGCCTGATTATTTGAAGAAATTAAAAACCGTGGGATCTCCATTAGTGAAAGAACCATTGCAAATTAGACGTCGTGAAGCTGTGATTGCAAATAAAAGGTAATGGCCCAAACATCAACTGTAGGGACTCATTTTTTCTTTGCAAAAAAACAGAAAGGTGGTAAAAATAAGCTAATTAATTAATCAAAATTTTTTTTGAAGTTTAATTTCACTGTAGTTTTACCTAACCAGTCACAAACTTACAAGCATTGTATAATGTTATTTTTGTTACTTGAAAATGCAATGTACATATGTGTATCTTTTTCTTTTTTGCTTTGTTGCTAGATTTGTCCGAATTACCTTAAAATTAATTACTCCAAGATAATTTAGAAAAATGATTTTGAAAATTATATAATTTGCTATTATATTATAATTTTAAAAAAATGCTATTCTTGAAAAACTTCAATCCAAGCACACCTCATGCCTTGAATGTTTTCCAAATTTGAAAAATAAAAGGAAACTGTGAATTAAATAAATGAAAAAATATTTTTTTAAAACTTCTAAATCAGGGATTGAAAATTGAATAATTTTTTAAAATAGATTCAACTCACCAGTCACCATCAGGTATCTTATCCAGAGGAGGATCCAAGCAAGATATGTGAAAACCTGCATCACACTCGTCACACAAAAGCAATTTATCACAATCGCTCTTGCCACTGCAGAGGCGACAGCCACAAAATTTACAACCTTTCTGACTATTGTCCATGCACTTTTCACAGTGCACTGGGTAGATTCCTGTAAATGTATTTCCAATTGCAAATTTACACTCACAAACCAGCAATTGCTCAACTACTCACTCGGTTTTTCATTATTTAAATTAGCATTGTTACGGTTTTCCAACAATTGCGGCTCTTCTATGCGCATGATCTCTTGAGTGAACTTAATATTGCATTCCATTGTAGTTTCGTCGTCCAGTAATGTTCCTACAATATTGACCGATCCCACTTCCTTCAAAATGCAGTCGTACCAAAACCCTCTTGAGGTTGGGGTGTCTTTATTATAATTTACCAAAACTTTCATGCCTGGCTTCAGCTCTGGGATTTTATAAGTGTAATAGCTGCGAGGTCTAATATTGCTGAACTTAGCATTGTCGGTATATGGATAAACAGACACATGATCTTCACTAAAAAAAAAAAAATAAAACTCAAACAACAACATAACTTTAAAATCTTTACAATTACAAACATAACATGTCACCTAAACAGGTTCATAAATGATACATATCACTAGAGTCAGCTATGGAACCCGAAAGTTTTTAGAAGATTTAAAAATATACAACACTACAATCTTTATTAGATGAAGGTACTGAGTAATCAATTTACGCACAGAGGCATATAAAACTACCAAGGTCCTTTTGATTTTAAAATTTCATGGAACATACTTTCACAAAGTAATTTTTTAAAATAAGTTTTAAGAGTGTCTTTATTTTAAATTAAGAATTAATTATTTAAATCCCCTACCAGATTATCTATATTTAGCACATATTTAATACAATAAAATTTTTGAAAGCCCAGAGTTTTACGTTTTGAAAGTTCTATTTAATGGTTAGATGACGAAAAAATGGAAGATAAGATCGAGGAAAAACGCGGTCCTAAGAAAACGACCAAATAAAGAAGAATTTGCCAAAATTGTAGCCGATCTTCATTAAATGGATATGGCACTTTAAGAAGAAAGAAGAAAATAAATTAATAAAAATACATACTTTTTAACTTCAAAGAGTAGATCCGATTCAGCTTTGCTATCGTCTCCGAGACGCTTTAATATTCTTGTAATGGTCCCTTCAGACCATGTTCCAATTTCCATCCACTTTGTGTCCACTTTATCTCCTACTCTGTAGAAGGCAGAAACTGCATCTTCAAAATCTATTGTGGTATTTTCCTTTGGTTGATCGACTGTACTTTTGCTACAGCCCGGAACTTCGTCGTCTTCTATTACATGCTTTTTAAAAACCATAACTCTTGGTAGGATGAAGTATTGAAAAAGTTGTTGCTTGTCATGCAACTGTAAAACATAATACCAATGAAGTAAATGCAATAAATGAATCAACAAAAACTCAAGCTACCTCTTTCCCTTTATATAGCAAATATTGTAAATTTATGTTGATATGGCTCTCAGCCTCAATGGCCTTTTTAAGATCCAAAACGAATGCTCTCTTGGAAATCGGAATCACAAGTTCTCTTCTCTCGACCTCTTTCAGTCAGTCTGCTTTAATGCGGACATATATCGTGAAAACCCCTGCAAAATCTTTCAAAACAGAAACTATTGTTATTTGGCGAACAAACAAAACAATTTTTACTGTTAGCTAAATCACCTTATTCCAGTAAACCGGCGCAGAAACCACTCTAAGTAACCTACTTCACTAGTAATAACCAAATATTATTTTTTATTTATTTTAACAATCAAAACCTTAGTTTTCTAATCCCTTTGCAGTTTTGTACCCGCCACAACGAATAAATTTGAATAAGCGATCTAAGTAAAATAATTGGTTGGTTTTGTCATAGTACGATGGAATGTTCTAGAAAATTTTCTTTATGACTAGAAATCAACGTACCTTTTTATCCAAAAGTAAAATGTATTTGCGGCAACACCACACGATTATGGCCTAAACGCAACAAAACGTTTTTGAATGAAATCTAATGGGCCAAAATAGGATATAGTTATTCGTTTAAGCATAGCGCCATCTGTGAACAGAAATTGATTATTAGTTAGGCTGTCTTACGTACATACTTCTATTCGATAGTCCCAATACCGCCGCGTCAATCTAGTATCTAAGTTTTTAAAGTATTTTTTATATTTATCCTAGAAGAAGCATCAGAATCTAACGGATTTCTAAATCTCTTTAGCTAAAATATTGCAAAAATGAATAACAATCCTCTTTACTCCTCGGCAGTAACAACAAATTGAAAGGCGGATGCTGATTATGTTGTATAACATGATCGCAAGTGCATATAATAATAATTAAGATTTGATTTTTTATAATGATTTGATTTGAATTTTTTTGGATTTCTATAATTTGTCTTAGTTTTGTACCCTTTGTAACTGAGACACGGGAAGTAATAACATGTAATAATGATACTGTCTCCTAGAGGGTACTTCTATAGGTAATTAATGGTGAATTATTTTCTTGATAAAATTTTACCTTGTTTGGATTTCATATTGGAAAGGTTTTTTTCGATTTTTCACAAATTATTTCATAAATGTTGCGACGACAACTGCACCACTGTACTGCGAACGTAACTCTACAAATTATTTTTTTTATCCTTTGTACTCACTATTTCGATAATGTATACCCTTATTAAAATACCTGTAAAGTTAAATTTATTAACGTAATAATTAGCAAAAATACCTCAACATATAGGACATAGAAAGTTTTGAAAATTTTTCATATAAACCAAAATGTAATAATATGCAGAGCATTTCTTAAAAAAAGGAAGTTGGTAGCTGGTTATTATAAATAAATTGAGATCTATTGAGTGTCGGTAATCCTGTACATGGTATCTGTACTGGTTACTTAAATATCTAGTATAATAAAACCAATTAAAAACTTTCCTTATTTTCCTTTTAGGAAAAACAAATCTGACGCTTTATGCAGATGGAACCTAAATAGAACGATTAATTGGAGAATAATTGATCAAGTTCTTAACGAAACATACTGAGTATATATTTAACAATTTATTTCACAGGTTTGTTGGACTTTGTTGACTATATTTTGTTGTTTCGGAAACTCGCTGTTAAATTATAAGGCACGCTCGTTGATTTCATTGGTCCTGTCTATTACGGTGTTTTATTAAAAGAGGTTAAATGTTTCACCGTGGTCCAATGCTACTGTTGGCTTTCTGCAGGGCAAGTTTTTGTTTAGTTTCGATTTGTTTACTTTATTCTGTTGTCTTAAAAATACGTCCTTGGTGTGATTGAGGTTATGTTTCATTTTTGAATGCGTTTTATAAAGTTTTTAAATTCGCAATTTTGTTTTAAAAATGCGTGTTAAGGGTCTGGTTGGTGATAAATGGTATTCTAATAGGTCTAATTTAAATAAATATACACAAAAGAACTGAAGTCCAGGGTTGTTTAGCTATTCACAAAAGAAATATTTTATTAAAATATTGGGCTCCTGATTCCAGTAATTTTGTTATTGAATTTGATAAAGATAACAAAAATAAAGTGTTAGTCAGTGTCCTGATCGTCAATAGGGAAAATGGAGAAATTTTTTTAAATTTGTCATAAAATTATTCAAATTTCATACTCTCAAAAGTTAACAGATTCTTTTGCTGATTACATTTCTCAATTCGTAGTCTGTATTGGAAAATCGATGACGTGGGAAAAATATAGTTCCCAAAATCAAACGCTAGCGATAATCTTTTTCTGAAGGTAATCAAAATATTTATTAGTACTTTCACCACCTTAATTTTGCTTTTACAAGTAAAATTTACAGCCATTTCATTTTTTTGAAATGATGTGACTGGCATAACCACAGACATACATTTTTGAGGATTTATCAATTTTTGATAACTGTAAACAATCAGTTTTTAATTCTTTTAACAATAATTACTAGATGAATCAGTTATGTATAAGGACTCTTTAATATCATTTGCAGATCTTAATTAGAACTGATACTTGAAAAAAAAATATTTTTTAAAAATTTGATTAACAACGTTTATTTTTCTGTATTCATATTTTCAAGTGAAATGTAAAAGATTTCTATTTGTGAAGTTACAAGGTAATTTATATTGTATAATGTTTGTTGAAAATTAGTTTTGTAAAAATGAATGTACTTTGCCTAATAGGCTGAAGAGTTTCTTCAGTTTAATGTCCATATTTACAATATTTTCCACAAACCAAAAAAAAATCAACAACATAACCACTGCCAAGTCAGTCAGAAGATATTTTCCATTTATCCAATATAATTATCGACTCATATCTTCATGATAACCTCTCGCTTTCGAAGGGACCCAAATGTCATAAAATTTTCTTGTAGGAATCATCTTCACGCGTAAAATTCATATTCTACTATAGTTTCCTACTTCCAAACTCCATCAAAATTCTCTCCAAAGTGGGATTTTTTTATTAGAAAGACTCTTTTTGATCTGCTGGCTTTATTTTCTGCGTTAATTTAAATCCAAGAATCTTTTCAATTCCAGTCCTTCTGCAATATCTTTCAAAATTGATTCTTAAAACTGGGATAGCAAATCCAACACGATCACATAAATTTAAAACAATGACCCTTTCGTTTGCCGAATAAGGAGAATATTATAGCTTTGCTATGTTATACCATATTCCACAGGCCCACCTTCAAACAGCATGCGGTCTAGAAAGAGAAAAAATAAAAAATAGGTGTCCATTAATTTAACAGGAAAGTCAATATTGCTAAACTTAAAGGCCTCTCACCCTCTGAGGTGGGTGAACAAAATGGAACACGGGAAACGGTTTTCACTAAAAAAACAGTAATAAAATATGGATTATTTTAAATGCAACACATCTCTGAAACATGGAGAACAATTTAAGCAGCATTTGTGATAAACTTCCATAAGTTATCAATTTAAGAATTTTCTTGTGCACAATCAATAATGACTCGCTTTATTATATTAGGGGTCTAAAAATTAGGTTAAAAGTTTTTTATGATCCGTTACGGCCAACTAAAAATAACGGATATTTTTTCTTTCAAAACTTAAATATTAGGCTTTATATTAAAAACAAGTACAGAGTTTTTATATATTTCTAGATGCTCCTGACAATATCAATTGAAAAATATTGAAAAAAAGGTGACTTATTTAAAAACTATAAGTTTGGTTTATTTCTCGAAAATAATTGAAGATAGAAAAGATTTGAGTATGTCACTAAAAAAGATACCAAATATAATTTTAACTTTTCTAATAAGGATGTTGCAAAATGCAAAGCTTCAAAAATTATCCCGTATCTTTTGTTTATCGAAAAAAAGAGGTACCCCCTAATAAAAATGATATCGTAATATCAATTATCCATTTTTATTTTCTGAAATCAATATTACCTTCTAGATTAAAGGATAATTACATGACTGCATAGTTATTGTCAAACAAAATCTTGCAGAAAACAACTAATTTAACTTATTTATCCTAGACAATGAAAATTTCTATTTGGTTACTGTAATAAAAAATAAAAGTGGAAGCTTTAAGACATTCCATTTTAATTCGCTGCTTCATAGGTTACTAGTCACTTACTGAAGTTTTGAAGGCTTACTTAAAAATTAAAAATCCGAAACAAAAGTGTGGCTTTCTGTCCACACCTTCCTTTCAATCTTGGTGGGTTTTTAAGTGTCGTTAAGATACACGTGCTAAGATTTGTAAGAAGTCGGTTAGCTAGGCTGTCTGAAATGATTTTATTTCTTCGGAATCTCTACAGCACTTTGGAAATGGCGTCATGCAGTTTGGCATTTTATGGATATCTCGTAGCGAAGAACACATTAATAAACTTACTGTTTACTAATTACTTTATTTATTTAATCATTATAGCAGCCTAGGAGGCTTATAGTTTACATAAAAATAAACGTTTGGACAGCTATTTTGAATAACAAAATTATACAGGTCAACAAAGATATTGTGATTTGGTATTTTTCATATTCTTGGAGTTACTGGGACTAAAGTTATAAAAAACAATGTTTTCGAATTAATTGTTGAGATGTCGTATTTATTGTTTTACAAATAGGAACATTGCATTTTGCATAAATCAAGAGAATATTAGCGGGGAATTCTCGAAAACCAAATATAGTTTCTGGAATTTTTAAAATGGCAAGACTGTAAAAATATCCTAGATACGTTTTTTTTTTCATAGAAACTTCCACAGCCTAGTGTAATACATTTTACAAAACTTGGGATTCCTCCTGCGTCGTCGGTTTTTGCTGAATTGAACTTGCTGACGTTTCGCAAATGATCCTGTTGGCTACTTCATAGCTGGACTTAAACTGGCCTTTTTCTTTCGTCGTAGAGCAACACCACTGTTGAAAAAACAATAGTACGCTTATTTTAAAGTAAAAATTGGTGATTAAGACATACCCTGATTGTCACATGGTGTTTGTAAGGTATGCGAAGAAGGCCTAAGGAATAATGGAACCAAGCGATCCGTAACTCTTGGAATATCTGCGATATGAAGAAAGCCAACAAATCACCATGATGACTGCTATTACTGCATCTGCAATGTTCGTCGATATAATACTAAAAATTTGAAAAATGTTGTTTATCCGAACCTCAAGTCTTCTGCACCAAGTGCCAGTAACACATGGTGCAGATGTTGCAAGGCCTAAGAATTCAACCAGAATTCAAAAATAGATGACAATATCGTTATTAATGTTAAATATGTGTACTGTTTCTCAGCAACCACAGTTATTTTCACAATCAGAACCTAATAACTTAGTGAGAGATTTACCTAAGCGTCCTTCCGAAAGTTTTGCATCTATAAACTTCGAAATAAAATTTAAAAGTAC